TTGTCCGGTGAACTGCTGCTAGTTTTACTCACATGCCTGGAAGATGTCTAGTGCTTCTACCACACATGATTTCGCTCTCAAAATGAAATTGACGGATTCAGATTAGCTAGCCGAATAAATAGAAGCGGTAAAGCGTAGCCACCTGTGGCCCGGGCTGCCTGTCACAACTCCAGTCCGGCGCGCGGATGATGTCATAAACACTCTGCTTTGTTTTTAAAAGATATAAATGTAAAAAATATAACCGTGGATGTCTGGGGGACAGTGATTCTCCTACATGTTATGAATGCTGGTGTACCATAAGGAATAAATTATGAACAGTTTAGTTTGTACCTTCAAGTCTGTGAGGGATTTGCACAAACCAGCCAGAAAACCACTGAAATAAAAAAAAAGTCTTAATTTATTCCAAAAAAGTTAAAAAACGTATAAACTGGGCCCAAAAAAAAGGTCAACAAAACAGAATTTAATTCAGGCTTTAACATAAAGAACTCAAGGACAAACTGACCTAACAAACACGACATGAGGGAAACTTAAATAGTGGCTGATCAGACCACACTTGACAAACAAGGGGGATAACTGACTAACAAACTAATAAACAAATAAACTTAATTAAACAGATAAATACTGGCCAGACATTAAATACACTAGAATTTTAAATTGAACTAATTAACAAAATTACCCAAACAAGTAATATTTCAACAAATGATAAACAAATATCCCTTCCCATTACACCATTACAAATGGTTTGACCCACTGATTAGCCTGCAACCACCAATTGAGGAAAGCTGGAGCTCATTGCAGCCCTCCACCAGCAGATCCCAAGGAAGCTGGCAACTCAAAGAAAAAAAGAAATGAATCAATTGCATCTTGACAAAAAAAAACCTGACAAATAAAGTTCACTAAATGTGTGCACTGCAAAAAGCTAAATTAAAATCAGGCTAATGAAAATATACGAGATGTGCAACTCTTTTTGAAAATGATAAATGTAAAAGTTACCAAACAGCTTCAGAGTGTGACAGCAGGCTGTCACAAAGTCGTTGCCCATAGAACACGTTACTTGGATATTACCTATCCAAATATCTTTAAAACAGCTCCAAATGACACAAAACTCATATGGGGGAGTAGAACATGATGTACTAACATAAAATCAAGGGCCGATTGTAAAAAAAAAAAAAAACGGCGTTCCCCTTTAATGATGATACCTGCAGACCTTTCTTTGTTGATCGGTGTAAAGAAAAGCCTGAGACTGAACGAGATTTAAATGGCAGATACGATAGAAAGGCCTACACATTACAGCTGATCAGAAACAGAAAAAGTTCACATGAAGGAATAAAATGCTCTGCTTTTTTTCATTCACAGCTGATCCCATCTACAGAAAAGTTGGTGGCTCAGTTGTTCTGTCTCCAGATGATTTTTCAAAGCCCATCATGGAAGCAACATGGAAGCACAACCCAGACTTCGTCTTGGAGTGGTTTGGGCAGGAAATTATTAGCTACAGAAGTTTTAAAGGTAGGTTGACCCGCTGGCTAGAAAACAAAGGTGTATAAAGTACTCAAAACAAATACCAAGTAAAAATAGCTCAACATAAAATTGATTTGGTAATAATGACGTCCTTATATAAAAGTGAGAAAATTGTTCCAAACTACGTTTCTTTTTTCCAAGTTTGAAAATGTTTTGCTTCTGATCCATAAAGCTTTCTCAATTAAAAATGTCTGGAGTAGATAGATAGATAGATAGATAGATAGATGTACTTTATTTATCCCAAGCTGGGAAATTGCAGCGTAGCAGCAGCTTTACACATAGTGACAGTCACAACACAATAAGATAAGAAAAAAAGTAAAAATAACATAACATCCACGCGTATTTACATAATAAGGGTAATTTACATAATAAGGGTGCAGTGAACAGCCCTGAGGTGCAGTGAACAGATTATAAATAAGTATTAAAATATGGAGTGCAGTACAGTACAGTGCTGGTTACTGTATGCTGAAACAAGAGTTTATTTTTTATTGTACAGTGTGATGGCATATGGTAGGAAAGATTTCCTGTATCTGTCCCTTCGACAGTTTGGATCTCCAGGATTTATAGAATAAGAATAACCCAACAAAAGCCTTGTTGTGGCTTAGAAAAAATGCAAAAATTGAACCAAAACAGGTCCACCCCTTGTAATGGGGAGTCGTTAGGGTCATTATTGGCCTGGCAAAGAACAGAAACACATCAATGACTTTAACCTGAATGACTGAGAATCTTCACCAGCATTGTTTGTCGTCCATAAGAACTCAGAATAACACAAAAACCTGAATTGTGTTAAAATATCTTAGAAGTAAAACAGAAGGAACTACACTTCATTTTAGCTCCAATAATGCAGGATGTTTTAGCAGTGACTTGGTTTATCAGCTTTCAGGACAACACTGGTACTTTACCTGTCCTCACATCATAGTGACTCTTATTCTAATCTGATTGATGGTTAAGAAATTTAACTTTATCTTTACTAAAAGTGTCAACGTGGGTTGAGGACCCAAATGCAGAGATGAGGAGGCAGAGATGAGCTCTTGCAGGTTTAATGAAATCAAAAGGAATCAGAAACCAAATCCTATTACAAAAAATACAAAAAAAACTAAAAACACAAGACGTCAGAGGAAAACACACATAAGGAGCCAAGTAAGCAACAAGAAACCAGCAAGAGGAACTGGAGAGGAGGTGTATATTTGGGGGCCAGAAACAATGGGATAACTAATTATCTGATAGGAAGCAGGTGTAGACAAATATAACCAGAAGGAGATAAGGGAAAAGAGACCACAAGGGGGCAACAAAGAGCAACTAAAAAAATACAAGACTGCCTAAAATCCTGACCATGATTTAATTCTTAGCAAGTAACAAATGTCTCAGATTTTTTAGTAAAGTAAAATGACAGTGTCTAATGTAACAAAATTAGAGGAAACGTCAACATTAAAATAAAGTACTCAGTAAAGCACAGATTCACAAAAAAAAAAACTGTCCAAAGCTTTTTTACTCTAAGTGCATCACATTTGATACATAAGTTGTCAGACCACAAAACCATCAGTGAAATTGTTGTTGTTGAAAAACCTCACAATGTACAATTGGACACATGTAACAAACAGAAAACCTATTATAACATTGCATGAAAATTCCAAATGTATCCAAAATTATGCAAATAACTTATCTAATTTGGCCTATTGAAAATATATAGGGTTTTTTCCCCCTGTCAAAATGTTTAATGACAAATCAGGTTTCAAAAAATGTTAATTTTATACGTGCTTTAGCCTTTAAAGAGTTAAGTATTGTAGAAAGTGAAAGTCCTTAATTACTATACACCAGGGGAGTTTCCAGGACCTGGAAACATTGGGGGCGGAGTGTAAACCCTACTAGGGTCACATTTGGGAATTTAACTGGGAAAAGGGCTTTTTATTAAAGTCTTGTTGAGCATTCTAGCACATTTGAAGCCAAATGTTGCAATATGCACAATTTGCTTTACATAAAAAACTAGAACGGAGGTCTTCAACAGGGGGAACTCCTAAGGGGTCTATGGAGGTACTGCATGGGGGTCAAGTTTTGGTTTATAAGACTCTTTTAATATTCCCCCTGCAATTCTTTCTACTAACTGAAATATCTTTAAATACACATTAGCATCAATTCAACACATTGTAGTTAACACCGTTTCATTCACAACACCTGTCCCATCGAATAGGAATCAGAATCAGAATAAAATACTTTAATAATCCCACAAATTACTTTCGTTACATTCCTCCATCTGTAACAGAGTGACTATAGGACCAATTTGGTAGAACACAATTTCATACAGTATGTATAATTAGGGGTCCGTGCTCCATCTCGCCATCCGTTTGGGGGTCCTTGACCTGGAAAATGTTTAAGACCCCTGATTTAGAGACATCATTTGATTTAATCCGTAAATATCACATCTAGAGATATATATAAAACTGTAACTGGAGCGTGTAACAAAAGTAATTTCCCTCTGGGATTATTAAAGTATTTCTGATTCTGATTAATTGCTCATATTGTTTTCTCACATCCTGCATGCATCTTAAAAAAAGATAGACCAATATAACCAACACATTACAGCCAAATTACACTTTCTATTTTTCATTTCTAGTCTCTGGCTTCTTCATTTTGATTATTTGTGAAAATGGTTACATAAAATAAATACTCAGGGCTGACTAATATAAATTTTTTCTTTTAGCTTAACTGAGGCTGATGCAACAACCTCAGAGTTCATTCTTAAAGAAAAAAATAGAAAAAGTTAAGTTAATGTAACTCTTGAATATGAAAAACTTAAGTTTCTTGTAAATTCAGTTTAACTCACTACACCCACTTCCTTTTTTTTCATAATTTAAAAAACTGCCTTATAATGGCATGACGATCCTGAACTTAATCTATAATTTTTACGACAATAAGAAACCAACACTAATTGCATTTATATATACAGAGGGATTAAAAACAAAAAAATTCCAACAAGGTCTATGTGTCATTTTGCCTGGGTTTTTCTATAGAAATAAACGGTAAAATAATAAAACATTTAATAAACTATGGGCAGTCTGTTAAAAAAAAAACTGCCACACAGCACACCTATTGAGAAGCATGTGAGGTTTAAAAACTATGCACTATGATCAGATCGGTAACTCTTTGTTGATGTTGGTATCACAAGAAAAAACAAAACAGGCAGGGGGTCTTCCTAGTGCTACTACCCAATCACTGCAGCCACTACCATACAGACTATATCATGCTGATGTTGTCATGAATTAGCTGCCTATGTTGCTTCACCAGAGCATATCATAGGGCTGCTCAGTTAATTTCTTACATCCCCAGAGAAAAAAAAAGGAAACATGGATCGATGAGGGCTAGAGCTGGGACTTCCCAGTCTAGGAAATGCCTCTGTTATACACTTTTGCCAGAAAATATCATAAAACGCAAGAACCGGCAGATTAACATCATCCATGTTGTCTTTATCTGGATCCTGCTTCCAGGTCGCTGTGACTTTGATAAAACAAGTGGAAGTTTGACCATCAACAGTCTGACTCTAGAGGACAGCGGCAGCTACACGCCTGAGATCAACAACAAAGTTCTGGCGAAAAAGAAACTCCAGGTTATCAGTGAGTTCAGCAGGTTTGACTGAGGTTTGTTAGGTTTTAACCTGAATCAAGTTGAGATAATCTGTTCCTGTTTCTGTCAGAACCGGTCCCAAAACCCACAGTGTCCATAAAGTCCAACCATGAGAAGGATGCCTGGAGTCTCACCTGTGAAGCCCAAGTCACTGCTGACTTTGGACCTGTGACGTATAAATGGAAAACAGGTGACACAGAGTTGTCCACCGACAAGGAGCTGCTGATAACAACGGTATGAGGATGAGAAACCCTGGAAGAACTCAGTAGAACCTTCATGGTTTGGTTTAGAGCTGTTTTCTATTTATTTCTCAGGAGAATAAGGAAAGCTCCTTTTTCTGTGAGTTGGTAAACCCTGTCAGCAGCAGCTCCAGTGAAACAGTGGAAATACCCTTTACTATAGGTGAGTTGAAAAAATTCCCATCTATGCTTTATCCTTTCCACCTTCAGTTGTCAAACAAACAACATCTTCCCGAAACATTCAGGACAGTCCTGAATTCCAAGCTTTTGCCCGAAAGTGCACGTACAATCCCGAATTTCAACCAACCTCATCTGGTCACCCTATATCCGGATCATCTGTGATGATAATCACATTGGAGAAAAGTATGTCTACATTTAACCCATTTCCTTCAGGAGCAGAGGGCTGCACTGTGCGGTGCCTGGGTTTTGCTCAGGGACCCAGATGGGAGGCTATTTGGATCGAACCGGATACTTGCAACTTTCAGAGCAAAAGCACACTGCTCTAACCAATCGGCAAACACTCCTTTGGTTTATACCTGTTAGAGCTTAGCATTTACAGGGTTTTTCTGCACGCAATCACCCGCAGTCATTCACTCGCTGTTTAGACAGAATTTTACTCACAGCTGTTCTCCATCCCCCCTCGGACTACAGTCAACCTTTGGATCCCGGTAGGGGAGACTGACCGGGTTCCTGGAAAAGTATCTCAAAGTTGTAGCCACAGTCTTTAGCCAGAGTTCACTTCACGCATTGGAATCAGTATATTGGCATCGGACTCAAAGGACCAAATAAATTTTAAGTTTAAACACCCAAACACTTCAAATAACCTGGGGAAGAAGGGCAGGCAGAGATGTCCTCTGTTACGGTCTCCCACCACTCTGAAGGACCTCTGCTGTTTTCCTTGCTCTTTATTGTATAAAAGGGAGTCCCTAATAACAATAGGTCATGCTGGAACTTTAAAGAAATTTGTGGGGAGAAAGTTACAGCGAGATACATGAAGAAGAACATTCACTTCCTGGCACCGGCAAGGAATACTTTCACCAGAGTCTAGTAAAGATAATACAAAGAATAATCAAGGTTAATACAGGATGAGGTTTAATAAATTTAAATAGCTCCAACAGGTACACTGTTAACTATATCACTATTGCATTGCCTTGAAATCGTACCTCATGTTAAAGCATAAATACATTTTGGGAAGATAAAAAAAAGGTGAACATCAAGCTCAGTCTCAAGTCTTATAAAGCCTCTGATATTTCATGCTTCTCATCAGCCTCCTTGTACCCCAGTGATTTAAACTCCTAGACTGTGAACAGTTCATTGTTTTTAATGCTTAACTCTTTCATTTCAGAGAATCCTGCTTTAGCAGTGGCTGTAGCGGTTGGGATCATCCTGCTGGTTGCAGCAGTGATTGGAGCTGTTTCCTTTTCTATCTGGAAATGTGAGGAGACTGCACAGAAAATATAACAATTACTTTTCTGTTTTATTACATTTGTTTGTTAACCTGTCGATGGGTCAGTGTTTTTTGGAGGTCTGGTATGCAAACAGCCCATTTATCTTCCTTCAACAAATAATTTCTGAATAAGATTAAAAGATAGAATCATTACCAGTAATCCCAGCAGGTTACTAGAAAGATTTATCGATGTGAATGAAACAAGACTTTGAGGCTCTGACCCCGGCAGTATGCCTTGATGATAAGAATGACATGTGCTCTAATAAATAGCCTAAGATCAGAGTACTTACCCCCTCAAAAAAGGGAGATGCTGAGGCCGAACGAGAGAGCGTAAAGCTCTTGCAAGTGACCAGAATAGTAAAATCGAGGAACAGAGGAAAGGGGTGACTTGGATACAAAGAAATTATCAAAATTAGCAAATCTTTAGGATAAGTGGTTGTTACTAGAATGAGTGATGGGCAGGGGCGTCGTCTAGGGTGAGGAGGACAGTGGAAAAATTACTTTAAGGTTTGGGATGACTGCAATAACCCTCTGCCAGGAACAATGAACCTGACCAAATAAAGATAAAGCAATAATGAGCTGCTAATGCCCTGTTAATGTGATCCTGATGATGCGCTGATGAGAAGAGAGCAGATTGACCGTGTCTTCAAAGGCATAAGGAGCAGGGCTGGCCATGTCTGCAATGGTTTAAAGCAACTAATGGGAGATAAGGCAGATTTCTTACATGAAGGAAGGGAGGAAATGAGTAAGGCTCGTCACTGGTGATTTGCCAAACCTAGAGGCTAAGAGCATTAAAAATTTAGTGAAAAGGGGACATCTTGATGAATGAATAAGAAAACTGAAGAGGACCATAGACCAGTTGTAGAGGGGAAGTTTAGAAAATGCCTAAACTGGAGGGGGGTTGGGGCCGGTAAGGCAGGCGGGGGGGAAACATGGGGCCGCCTTTGTCCAGGCTACCAGGTTCGGTCGTCCCCAACTGGCTCCCTGCCCCTGTCCGCCCGGGTTTGATTTTGAAATTCCCCCCGGACATTGTAGACCAGTTGTAGACGGAAAGTTTAGAAAATGCCTGGGGTGGCAGCAATCATGTTGCCTCCATGCTAAATGAATGACCTAAACTGAGATTAATTGGGCTGGGATTAGTACTAGTATAAGAAGCTGGGCTGCTATCACGGGAAAGCTTTCTGATAGATGACGGGATTGCTAATTAGCTTATTAGTGACATTTAGGTGAACCTACATAAAGCAGAGGCACCATTATACAGCAATCAAGAAGATGCATGAAACTTCCCTTAGAATGATGCACATAGATGATTCCTAGAGATACTCTGAGGAGCAGATTAAATGAAGGACTATATAGAGAGCTGAAATCTGACTGGTGGATAGAAGGTGCCAAGAAATATCCCTAAGGACCTAAGGACAAGCTGCATCTGCACAACTGTATTGGTCAGCAGCATAAACATTGTCGTTAAAGATTCCAACCAACTTAAGAATTTGCTCATAGCTTTTTTATTATTATTATTATTATTATGTATTGACCCACATGCAGCAGTGTTAATTTCGTCAGCTTTTTTTAAATTTAGTCTTAGTCTTAGTCACAATGACAAAAATCTATTTTAGTCTTGGTCACATTTAGTCATTGCCTTCCCGATTTAGTTTTAGTCTTAGTCTAAATGACGAAAATCTATTTTAGTCTTAGTTAAATTTTAGATTGGGGTTCCCCTGATAATGGCTCTTCATAGTTTTTATGTACGTGTTCAACTCTGAGTGGACCTACTTAGAGTTGATTGAACTAATTCATAGCAGCTGTTGTGAACCTAAAACTCAGAGTTCACTACCTTAGGCTAGATTAATTAGGGTGGCAGATTTGAATCTTAGGCTTTGTTCACACTGCAGGCCTCGATGCACAATTCCGATTTTTTTAGTGAAATCCGATTTTTTCGCGTTTGCGTTCATATTTCCAAATATATGCGACTTGTATGTGATCTCCTGTGTCAACTGCAGCCATACAACGCAAGTGTCCCGCATGCACAGTAGAGGACGCAATGACGTCACAGGCCAACGTGCTCGTTTTTTCCAGAAGTAAACATGGATGGTACTGCCATGGTTGTTGTTTTTCTTGCCACTTCTGCATAGCAAGACACATAATGACGTTCAGGTCGGATGAATCCGACCTGGCCGTTCAGACTAGGAATGCACGATATTGGGATTTTGGCCGATATCCGATATGCCGATATTTTAAAAGTCATGTAGCCGATAACCGATACCGATACCGATGTTAAAGCTGGACAAAAATAAGTAGTCATTGAAAATAGCAGTTTTGTTATCCATTTCTGACACTTTGAAAAATAATATACTCAAATATATTTTCATATGCTGATATCAAATAGATTTTTGAAAACGCGGTATCGATCTATTTTACTTTCAAAATCTCGTAAAATTTCATTGTTCTGTTACAAACTCTTGTGATATTTTGCAAATTCTTGTGAGATTTTGTTAGTAAAATAGATCGATACCGCGTCAATATATCAACATATAAAAATATGGCAAAATTTCGTGAATTTTCGGGGGATTTCGTAGCATAACGATGACATATAGCAATATTTCATTAGTAAAAGAGATTGATATGGTGTTTTTAAATGGCAATATATCAGCATATGAAGATATTGTTATATTATAATGTATAAATATTTTTTCCCTCATCTTTAGAAGTTTTTAAGTCTTTAAAAAAGAAGTTTTTGAGGAAGAAGTAGTAGTATTTTTTTTTTTAGACTTTAGAAACTCAGAAGCTGATCAAATATCGGGTTAAATATCGGTGGGGTGGCCGATGTCCGATATTCCGTTTTAAGGCCGATACAGGCCGATACCGATAGGGGGCCGATTATATCATGCATCCCTAGTTCAGACACATGTCGCATTTGAAAAGATCAGATTCGTATCGGATTCAGGACCACATAGCCAAGGTCGGATTGGAAAAAATTGGATCTGTGTTGTTCAAACTGCCATGAAAAGATCAGATCCAGGTTGCATATGGGCAAAAAAATCGGATTCGGGTCACTTCAGGCTGCAGCGTGAACGTAGCCTTAGTTTGTTAAACCTGCTTCCTAAAACAGACCCCAGGATTTAAGCTATTTATTTAAAAAGAGAATTAATTTATGCTATTTGGAGTTCCAGGGGCTATTGGACTGGAGACACAAGAAGGAGCTAATGTTACGTGGTGAGATACAGATGATAAGTTTGAGCTTTATTAGTCAGGAATAGTGAATGTCCGGACTTACAGTCAACTGGGTTTTATCTGTGTGGATAGGGGGAACACTGAGAGGTTCAGGGGTTGCGATGGGGCATAGCAGCAGAGGCATGGTGGAGAGTTGGCTGGTTTGGTCAGGAGCTTGGAGCAGAGAATGGAGCCAGCTGCCATCCAAAAGGTTCTAGTTTTGGGGGTAAATCCAGTTAGAATCCAATTTATAGTTCAATCAATTTTTTATAACCTCATAGATAAAAATTGTTTAGATAATTTTTTTTATAACAGCTCGGTTTAATTTATAGGTTTTTTTTTTTTATCCAAATGGAGTGTCCATGTCAGTCTTGGTTCTGTCCAAGTTTTCTTTTGAGTATTCAGTTTTACTTTGCTACATATTTTCTAGTTTTATTCGTTTAAATCTTATTCTGTCTGGATATATTCTGAAACCTGGACATATTTGAGTTCTTGGGGTTTTTTTTTTTTTTTTTGTTCTCTTGTGTTGCTCTCCTTTTTCTTAGCTCCTTTCTAGAAGCCTCTGTTCACACCTGCTCCTAATCAGCTCATTAGTCCTGTCTTTGTTCAGTCTCCCATATAAACTCTCCCTGTATAGTTCCTCAGTGCTGGTTCCCTGTCTTTTCTCATGCATGTTTTCCCTGATATCTCCATGGTTCTGAGCTAATAATGGGGATGATGTATGTGGATCAGTGTTGTATGTGTTTAGGATCATTGTGTCATTGCAACATCAGACATTTAGGTTTATTGGCTCCACTCCATGATTATATTTAGTCCTTAAAGGACAAGAAGAAAGTTTGGTAGCTTAGAAGTATAGTGTTTTGGTCATATATTAGCACTGAACATTTGTGTATCATTTTACAGAAAACTTCATGCACTGCCCCCCAACTTGGTGAAGACGCATCTCATGTTGTCAGAGCACAAAACTGAAATACCCTTCATAACTGTAACTGTGTGCTAGTCCTCTATGGGAACATGCGACAGAAAGCTTTTTAACTAGAAGAGGACTTGAATTTTAGTATTTATTACTCACAGCAATATTTTGAAGTCAAATGAGAAAAGGGGGGGAACACCAGTGTACTGTTTCACACAGACCTATAAGAGGGATGGACAATGGAGGAAGAAGCAGAAGAGAAAGGCAGACAAATGCTCTGTTCGAAATCCTGGGAAGTGTCCTTAGAAGGCCAGATTCGAAGGACAATTACGTCATATCGTGGCGCCGAGGTCTGGTCAGATTCCAAGACTCCTCGTTATGCGGCCTTTGTCGTGGAAACTGTCCTCCCAACGACTTAAAATTGATGCTAAGTCTTATAAAAATTCAAAGTTCTTAGAAAGCAGTAGAAAAGTCTTCACACAATGATAAAAAATCAGGGAGAGGCAACTGGGTCCAGGTCCGGAGTGTTTTATTGCAAAATACAGATAAAACACCCGAGATGCGTACCGGTCCACATCTGACTTACATACAGAAATAGTCCCGCTTATATACACTCGAGGAGCATTATTTTTAAAGCCTTTCTTTTGATCTATCAAAGCCTTTTCTTTACTCTTTCATGGTGACAGTTCTTGTAGATCATGATGACAATTAGTGCAGTTAAATCAAAAACACATCATAGTCTTAATCATCAATATGTCAGAACAATGTTTTCATCCAGTGTGACTTACGATCATAACTTTACATAAAAAAAGGTCAGCATAAGTTTAAAACTCAAAGTCCCAGTAAAAACCTCACTTTTTGTGTGACCAGTACCGTACCGCTTGCTTTGGA